TCACGCGCGCATATTGCTTGCCGTTTACGGCACATCAGAGGACAGGGCAAACACCAGACACAAGTTTGACAATGATTTAAATTTTGCACGCACATATGGCTGCCTTTTTCAGCACAATTGAGAGGTCGTATTATGTACCTGGAGAGATAGATAGATGCTACAGACCTCTTTTTCTAACAACGTCAAAATTACATTTGTGAAAAGAGATGGATATATCTATCTCTCCAATATTTGTGCATGTAATCCCCAGGCAGATCTTTGATGTGCAATATGTACGGCATGCTTGACTGTCTTGGCGCATGCGTAGTATGTACAGCAAAGTTTTTTTATCCATTTATTTAATCAAATAAAAGGATAAAAAAACCTTACTGAACATACTACGCATGCACTGATGGTTACTTAATCATTAAATCAAAAATTACAAACTTAATTATAATTTACAAATTTATGTTCGGTGTCACTCATATAAAAAAAAACTAGTCTATGGAGCGACATCTTAATAAAATAAACAAATAAAATAAAAAAAAATTAAAACAAAGAAATAATAGAGAAAGTAAACTACAATAATACAAGTAAAAAAAAAAGAAGTATAAGGAACAATAATATTAAAAATTTTGGAATTAGCACAAAAATATAAAGGAGTAACGCTAAGAAAAATAAAAAAAAAAAGAGACAATGAACGGATGAGATAAGATGAGTGTGAAATTATGTAAGAGAAAACAAAAACTTAATCACATAAGTTCAGAAGGATAGAGTGACAGAAAACAATTTTTGCAGAAAAATATAAAAAAACAAATTAAAGGCAAATTTAAATAAAAAAATATATACATACAACACTACATACAATATTAAAGGCTATATTTAGACCGCTTTGGAAGATTCCAAAGCGGTCATTTTATAGGTTTTATTCCCAGAATAAAAAATGAATTTTCAAAAGAAGTTAAAAATTTTTATAAAATTTGCTATGAACTTATCGAGAAAGGGATAATAAACTTTAGAGTATTGAATTGTTTCAAATGGACCCTCATAAATAGTAAAATTGAATGGAAAGAAGTTTCTTCAGTAGTCGAATTTGTAATGAAGGAAGTAAAAGATATTGTTATTAATGGCAACTTTCTCTATGAAGAAACTCGAAGAGTAAATTTATATTTAAATGACGAAAATTGAAGAAACTGAACAATGAGAAAATAGAACTTGACGAAAGATGGGTAAAAATCTTTCGGGAATTTAGAGTAGAACATATCGCACATGAAAATTTAAAAGTTTTAATAGAAATTTCTTTATGTTGTCCAGGCACTAATGCTGCTGTTGAAAGGGTATTTTCACTAAGGAATGATTATTGGAGCAGTGAGAAGTTGCAACTTTCTGTAAAAACATTATCTGCCGTCTTAACAGTCAAATTTAATATGCAATTTATTATGATCGAATGCGGCTACATTATTAGATGAACATCCTCATTTAGCAAAAAAAATCCACTCTGAAGAAAAATATTTTTTTTAAAGAAAATAAAGTTTTTTGTCGTTTATTCCTCTTTTTTTTTTTTTACCTATGAATTACTTGCAAAGTGTACTCTTTTTGAACAAAAGATAATTGGTCCCCTTAAGATAATTAAAAATGGAGTTAGATTTTTGGGCACCACTTTTTAAACGAATTTCTAAAAACCCAATTTGGGTCTCCTAATATTGTGAGTCCTAGGCCTAGGCTCTGACGGCAACATTTGTAAATAGCAACAACTTTTGGCAAATTTATTTTTTTAATTTTTTACATGCGTGTTAAAATTTTGTCACTATGTTAGATTTTTATTGAATAAATTCCTATATAAAAATATATTTTATATAAAATATTTAGGGAGTATTATTCTCTTTTACTATCAGCTATCAAGCTGATTAAACTGACTTGATCAGCTTCAGCATTAATCTGAAGCTAATGAGTTTATAGCTGAAGCTAAAAAATCAGCTGCAACCCCTACTTTATAGACAACATAGTTAATGTGATGTAAATACATTATAATAATAAATGTGTTTTTTTTTTTTTTTTTAATACTCAAATACTTATTTTTTTATTTTATGATACATTTTTTAAAAAACATGTTTTTTTATAATATTTAATACTTAGGAAACACTGACTTTTGCCGAATATTCTTTAAAAAAAAAAAATATTTTCTTACATTACTCTAATTGAGGTAAAAAAAAACGGTAATTTTACTCAAATCATTATATTTGTCCACCAAAGTTAATGCAGTTCTATTATACATAAGTCTCTTACTAATTCTAATAATAACAAGTTACTACCATTATTATTATGATCATATTTACTAACCTGTTATTACTAATATTTATCAAAAACACATTCTGGTTGTAGAAGTCACTTTTACTCATATCAGTTTGCAAGTATTGTCAACAGTCAGAGTGCACCATGCGGAAATATTCTTGAACATGCTGCAAAATACAAGATATACATAAGATAGATATCATATAAGACCTATTACCTGGAACTTAACATTTTATAGTGTTTAACTTACTTACTATAACTCAATTATAAGCAAATATGCTTGAATTTTTTACCATATGGGACTCGTCTTTAAACCTAAACACTTACCTGTCAAAATCCCGTTCCTGTAAGCCCAGCCAAAAATCATACGGTACTTGTCTGTCAATATTGGCTGGGTATTTGCAGTGTTTAATTTGAATAATTTTTGTAAGAACGAGCTCCTAACTTTTTTTTGCATCTGTTAGTAACGTTTTAAATAGTTAAATGTAAAAAATAATTTTCTGAGGTTACTTTTTTTTTTTAATGTTGATTTATGTGCCCCAATATGTCCTTACGGTCTTATTACAGAGCACCGCGGAAAAAGATTTAATAGGAAGTTTACGCCTTCTTCCCAATCGATGTCACAAAATTTGCCTAGAGGTGGAGTTTGAACCATGGATCTTACGTTTCTGAGCAAGTGCGCTACCACTGCGCCACGGCTGTTTTTCACTCTTGACTGGAGCAAAGTAGCCCCTTTTATGTCAAACCTTGACACAAAAATTATTTTTGAATAATACCTTCTTAAATAATAAATTATTTTAAACCTTTTTGCATGATTTAAACAAAAGATTGTTTCTTTCATAAAAACACTAAACCTACTAAAAACGGATATTGTTCTCGTGTAGAAACACGCCACTTTTGAAGGAGAAAAAATTTGGTATAAAAAATAGCCTCCACAAATATTAAAATAATAACACATAATATGGCAGCATTATTCAAATTTTATTCTGAAAGTTAAAGGTAATGGCCTAACTAAAAAAAAAATCGAATAGTTAAAAAAATCAATTTCACTATTAGAGCTGGGTAACTACAAAAACTGCAAAGTAACTCCCGATGGAGTAAAGTAGCCCCGAATGACGGTACTTAATAGTAATAGCCGGGTTTTTTTCTCAAGTAATAACTCTGCAAAGGATTTGTTGAATTATCATAGCTGTATTGTAAAGTTTTTGTAAATTGTTAAATTAATGAAATAATAAATTAACAAAATTTTAGTAACTCACAAATATAAAAAACAAGTTTATTTTTATATAATTATTTATATATGTTTCCTTTCTCCTCCATCTTGGTAACGCTGAACATAACTTTTTTGTAATTGGTTTAAATATTTTTTAAATACTACACTAATATACATTAAATAAAGTTAAGAAAATTTAGAAAATGTTTTTTTGAGTTATTCAAGTTAAACAAATAAAAAAATTTTAAATTATTATAGTTAGTAAAATTATAAATTAATAAAACTATAATAACTCAAAAATATAAAAAATAAGTAAACTTTAATATAACTGTTTTTATAAATTGATATTTACATCTCGAGACAATTTTGTATTACTCACTTAAGCGGAAAGTCTTGTTTAAGTGTTTTTGCGACGTCTTTAGAACGTCCTGAAAGGACTTCTTTGAGCGTCTAATCTAGAATCTGTTTAGAACGCATCCAAGACGTTCCGCATGAAGGTTTATTAAACGTTTTTTGTACGTCCTCTTTCTCGCTGGGCAGTGTGCATGCTACGTTTTATAAACGTTCTTTGGACGTTTTTATTAGATTTAAACCTAAAACAAACGTCTTAAAAAACGTTTTAATAACGTTTTAAAAACGTTTCGTGCCACTGGAAAAATGATTACCGAAAAAAGTTACGTTTCCTTAAGTTATATTTACTTGTATCTTCAACCTTTGTAAATTATAGAAAAAAACTAGTTTAAAGTATAGAACAAAAAACAGTATAAACTTTCAAAAAACTGTTCTTATGTTAGGTAAACTATTTAGTTCTTTGTTTAAATGTAACAATTAAAATCTTACCAATTTGTATTAAACTATTATTATTTCAATATAAATTGGTAAGCAAATATAAAATAAATTTTAAGAAATTTTTTATTAAAAAGTATCAAAAATTAAAATCTCTTTTTTTAGCAGATTGCGTTTATTAAAAAAACAATAAATGAACATTAATCGTAATCACTTCAACGATAATAACTTAGCCATGCTGCAAAAAGTCGCTATAAACTACGTCATGCAATTTTTGACCGTTTTTTATCTATCCCCCAACTTTGCAACACTTTAGCAATAAATCTTGTAAAAGATGTCACAAAATCACTTACCCCTGCCTCCACTAGACCGTAGCAAACTTTATCGACAACCCCTAATTGCATTCTTTTCTTGATATAACAAGAATACAAGGATTTTTTTAGAATCAGGTTTATCTTTGAATTCGTCTTTTTAATTTGTTTAAAATTAAAGCTAAATTCAAGAACCTGAAAAACTGAAAAGGTTTGAAAAATGAAAACTGAAAAGGTTTGAAAAATGAAATTGCGCTTACATTTAAATATTCAAACTCAAAGTAGCATTATTTCTTATTGATAATAAAAACAAAGAAACCCTGATAGAAAGCAAAGCAAACATGAAACCAGCTTAAAAGATTAAAAAATCACGCAATTTGTTTTATAACTGTTATGTTATTTTGTCGACTTTTAAAAATTTCTAAAATACTTTAAAGTAATTAAAAACAAAACAAAGTATGGTTGAACCGGTAGAAAGCGACAGTTTAATAATTTATGAAAAAAAAGAAAAAAGAACAGTAACTACAGTGTTAGCTGTTTCAATTGCATCTTTATTATCCGTCTCGTTTGGTTTTGTTTTATATTTTCCCAATCCATTAAAGTTAGTTAACGAGCGGTGGTATAATGTCAGTCATGTAAGTTTTTTTAGTTATTTGTTAAAGAAATATTTATTACTTTTAACAGTAACGAAATGTTCGAAAAAGAGTAATAAGGTGAAGAACTTTTTTGAAAGACACTTAGCAAAATATTTTTATTTTAGTAAAATATAAAATTTTATATAAATATAAATATATATATATATATATATATATATATATATATATATATATATATATATATATATATATATATATATATATATATATATATATATATATATATATATATATATATTAGGGTGGGTCATAAAAATTTTTTTTCTTGTTACAGGCTCTAAACATTGCTAATAGTTATTAATATTGATCAAATATGAGAATGATTGAGATAGATTTAAAGGGCGCAACTTTATTGGGAAAATTACCGGCAACCTAGTATTTTGGAGAAAAAAAGTTTTTCAAAAGTAGGTCAACCTGGTACTCAAAAGAAGCGATATTTTATAAAAAATTGGAAAATAATAATTATTTTATAAAATATTGTTGAAAAAAATTGTTATTAAAAAACATGTAAAAATGCATCTTTTTCACTTTTAGTTGAAAAACTATAGTTATTATGCAATAAAATCTAAAATAATATTTTTTTTATGAAAAAATTATTAATTTTGAAATTTTTATAAAATTTCGCTTTATTTGAGTACGTACATCACATAATTTTGAAAAACGTTTTTTTTGAATAATAATAGGGCCTGCTAATTTTTGTAATTATAGTTGCGGGTGGAAGACATTGTTCAATGTATAAAAGTAAATACTTTCCTAAATTACTACATAAAAAACAACTTTCTAGACCATAGCCAGGTTAGCAACTCTAAAAAAAAATTTTATTACCCACTCTAATATATAACTATATTAAGCCAATGTATTGAGTATTTTCGATTAAATTTTTATTATTAAAAGATAATAAAAAATATTGCCTTCTACAAATGTTTACTAATTAAAATTTTATAACAGTTTTCTTATTTAAATGATACTATAGTATTAGGCTGCATCATTCTTTGAAGTTTAACAGGTTATACCCTAAGAAATGACAATGACCATAAAACACGCTTTAAGAAAAAAAAAATTGTAAATTATTAAATTTGTTTAAAGTTATATGAAACAGATAGAAATAAAAAAAGAGGTATAGAGTGCTCCAAAACCAAAATATAACAAAATAAAATCAATGCTATTTAGATACAGGTACAATACATATATATATATATATATATATATATATATATATATATATATATATATATATATATATATATATATATATATATATATATATATATATATATATATATATATATATATATATATATATATATATATATATATATATATATATATATATATATATATATATATATATATATATACATATATATATATATATATATATATATATATATATATATATATATATATATATATATATATACATATATATATATATATATGTATATATATATATATATTAGGGTGGTCCTTATTTTACAACTTTTGAATTTTAATACGGGCGCTCCCTAGGAGGGATCCAATTGTTCAAAAACAAAATACCCTGAAAGATTTTTACAATTAAATAATATTTAGGGTATGCTCAATGACCCGGAATTTTGGTGTATGTGCCCGAGCTGTCCAGCCACGCCATAATGCCAAAAGTATGAAATAAGGACCACCGTACCGACTGTGGCAGGGTTTGTTTTAGCCTGATCTCCTTTGTTGCTTACTTTAACGTGCTTTTGTCTACACTAGTTGCTTGTGAACATGTGTTTTTTATTTGTGTTATAGAAATTAATTAATAAAGTTGCCATGGCAGTATCGACAAGGAAGCAGTCTGAGATATATTTACTTGGGACAGTGAAAGAAGAGTTTACAGGCGCTAAATTGCCATCAATACAGGACGTCCTTGGTGTGTTTTTTTACCATCTGAAGGTCGTTGAAGAAACGAAGCATTCAGCTGCCAAAGAAACAATTCGACAACTCTTCACGTACTGGAGCCGTGCAAGAATACCAGTCCGGGATGAACGAAGAGCAATAAAGAAGTTGGAAAATTTGGTTCTGACTTGGGATAACCTTAAGAAAAACAAAAACAGAAAAACTGAAACACAGAAGAGGAATGAAGAAGCTTTTATTGCTGAGTTTCCGAATCTGTTTGATATTTCTCATGGCAATGCTCTGCAAATGATAAACATTGAAGAAGATAAGCAATTTTTGCTTGCTCAACGGGAACCTGGTAGGCGAGGATCTATGGCAGGATTGGACAAGAACTTGGAGAATAAGGAAAAGGAGAAAGAAAAACGAGATAACCAAATGAAGAAGAGAAAAGATGCTAGTGAGGAAGCGAAAAGGAAAATGTTTGACACGGCTGTGCTGGAAGACACCTCCTCCGACGAATCACAGGATGCAGATTTCTCAGGACCTTCGACATCAAGCCTTACCAGTCCAAATCCATGCCTTCGAAAACGCGGGAGAAAAAACATCCTTACACCGGAAGTTCTTGGTTCCCTTGACAGAGCTGGGATCAGTGACAGGCATGCTGTTCACACTGTGGCATCCGTTATTTCTGCAACAGGCCAGAACGCGGCAGAATTTGCTGTGAACCGATCTTCCGTTCGCAGGTACCGGCTGAAGCATCGAGAACTGAGATCAAAGGAACTGAAAGTAGAGTTTCAAAGTCACGGAAAGCCTCTAAATATCCACTGGGATGGAAAGCTGATGAAGGATTTGACAGGAGATGAAAAAGTAGACAGATTGCCGATTGTTGTTTCTTCTGATGGTGTTGACCAGCTTCTAGCTGTTCCTAAGCTTTCATCGGGAACAGGACATGCCATATGCGACGCCATTGTCTAGATAATTGATGATTGGAAGATCAAAGACGATATTAAGGCCTTTAGTTTTGACACAACAGCGGCTAACACTGGGCGACGTAATGGAGCGTGTGTTCTTCTGGAAGGAAAACTCGGCCATGATGTACTGTACTTAGCATGCCGCCACCACATCCATGAGATTATGCTCGAGGAAGTGTTTTCCTTATGCATCAGCCCTTCATCATCACCCGAGATACAATTATTCAAGAGGTTTAAACAGTTCTGGCCAAACATTCAAACTGCTGACTTTCATGCAGGGATCCAGGATGACGCTGTAATGGCTCAACTTGATTCGGAAACCAGGCAGAGGACTCTTTCCTATGCCACTGAGCAGCTACACACGGAACACCCCAGAGACGATTACAGAGAGCTCCTTGAAATAACAATTATTTTCTTGGGAGGCGTTCCTCCGAGAGGTGTCAGATTCATGAAACCAGGAGCGATGCACAGAGCCAGATTCATGTCACGTCTCATTTACAGCATGAAGATATTTATCTTCAGAAACAGTGGATTTCATCTTACTGACTGTGAGCTCAATGGACTCAAGGATCTCTGTGTGTTTGCAGTGAAGTTCTACATAAGAGGCTGGTTTTCTTCTCGTCTTGGAATCTCAGCTCCAAAGAACGACCTTCTGCTCTGTAAGGAATTGTTGGCTTCTGGAAACTGTACATCGCTTGCTGCCTTGAAGAAGTTAAAAGGACACCTTTGGTACTTGTCGGAAGTACTCGTAGGCTTTTCTTTTTTTGACGATTCCATTTCTGTTGAAGACAAGAGAAAGATGGTCAAGGCGTTGGACAACCCTAGAGTACAAGAACCAGCCAAACGCATCTCTCTATTAGACCAAGATATAAGAGAAAAGGAGATACCTGACTTCGTGACAACAAATACAAAGAAGTTCTTTAGTGCTCTGAACATTTCAACCAGCTTCTTCGATGAAGATCCTGCCATCTGGCGTGATCTGCCTGCCTTTACTGAAGCACAGACATTTGTTGGTAAACTTCGAGTTACTAACGGCACTGCAGAGCGAGGTGTCGCCCTCATTCAGGAGTATAGCGGACTCCGGACAAAATCTGAAGAGCAGACGCAATTCATCCTTCAAGTAGTGGCTGAGCATAGAAAGAAGTTACCAGAAATAAGCAAAGTAGCAGTTGTGGAAAGCCTGAAGACATAATTTAGTTTGGAAGATGACTAAGTGAGTTGCTTTCAGAACATTATGTTATACAAATACCTTACATTTGAAAAACATTCATGTCACTTTACTGCGTTGAACACTGAGACTGAGTGACTGCTATATGCGAAAGTTTGTTTGAATTGAGCATACCCTAAATGTTAATAAAATTCAACAATAATTAAAAGCAAGTGTTTTTACACCGAATGGAAACATTTTGAGGGGCGCCCGCCAAATTTTTTCCAAAATAAATTTTCAACCTCCTATAAGGACCACCCTAATATATATATATATATATATATATATATATATATATATATATATATATATATATATATATATATATATATATATATATATATATATATATATATATATATATATATATATATATATATATATATATACATATACATATATATATATATATATATAATATATATATATATATATATATATATATATATATATATATATATATATATATATATATATATATATATATATATATATATATATATAAACTGCTGTATTATACTCTCACTATCAGATAGTGCTCGTAGACATTCGTTATTTTGCAGTTACCTTTTTCAATGCTTAATATTGGGCCTTGCTCAGTTATGGCTCAATTTTTTCTTCCTTCATCTATATCAATGGTCGTCGCCAGAAGGCTGCCAATTCTTTCTTTAATACTTTTTTCAATAGCGATTTCGAATTGAACAAATACTACGACAAATGATTAAAAAATTGACGAACTACGGAACACAACTCTACAAAATATTTTCTTACAATGATCACAATATAACTTTTAAATATATAATTTTTTGCGTATAAATCTTGTAAAATATTTATCTTTTACTAAAATATTTGTTTATGAAAACGAAATGGGAAGTAGAATACAAATTTTGTGCTTTACTTTACCAACCTTGCAGGACGTTTTTGTTTCCTTTCATATCTTGAGTATAAATAACATACTTCTTTAGCCATTAGCAACATTAAGATTACCACTGTAATTATTTGTAATCATCTCCTCCAACCGAAGCAAGAAATAACATCAAAATTAAAAAAACAAATATAATATACCTGGTTATATTAAAATTTTATTAGTTCCTTATATGTGTATGTTTTAGACGACTTTTCGACGAATTCCATGTAACATTTTAATTAAAATATGACATTATAGAAGAGTAAAAACAATTAGTTGTAAATAGATGCAATTACAGAGGTCAACTTTTTTGCAGATCAGGACCGATTTTTTTTATAAAACTTTTATAATGTAACTCTAGGAAAAAATCATCCAGAATTTGTATACAGGTTGGTGAGCTTCTCCTACCATTGACCACAATTACCCATTAGTATAAAATTCTCACAGATAGGTTGTATTTGCCACAAAAAAAAGCTATGGTGAATACACCCAAAAGATGTCATAGACTTCTGTTGTTAGTAATCATTGTTACACAAAATATATTGCTAACTGGGCATAAAAGATAAAATCAGAATTAAATGTAATAGACATTTATATAAAACATTCTTATATAAATATACCTTATATTTAAATCTTTTTTTATACCTATAAAAATTATACCTTATATAAAATTTATACCTTATATTTAAATCAACTTTCTGGGTAAAGTTTAAGTTTTTAGATTTAAAATCATTTTTCAGCTTACATAAAGTATTTTACTTATTTAAAATAGTTTTTTGTGCAAAAAAAACTTTTCTCCATAGACTTGTTATAACAACATTTTAGAACTTGAAAAAACCAATTATTTTATTAGGCAAACTTTTTATTATGCCCAAATTTAACTGCAGTAAAACAACCATTAAAAACGGACTAAAGTAGCCCCATATACCCCGGTTGACGGTGCCCATAGAAACTACATCCCCACACACCCATATACAACAAAAAAGAAATAACAGCTAAAATAAATTTTTTCTTTTGTGTGTTTTATTGTTAAATACCTCCACTCTATTATAACCTATATATCATTAAATTGGTAACTATTACTAAATTTGAAATTAAACAAAAAAAATTTGTTGATTACATAAACCACGCAAAAAATATCCTGAAACTATTCAGCAAAATTTCTGATGAGCTGACTTATTAGCAATATGCCAATGTAGAACAAATCTAATTATATATATAAATCTGAATATATATATAACAATAAAGCCATATATAACAGCAGCTTTTTTTCCTTTTTACTCACAGCTAAAACTGCATTTCATCCCGTTTTGAATGATTGATCTTTCTTATATAATACTTTACCTTCTTTGTTAACATTAAACACATTAATCGAAGTTAAGGTATGAAAATTAAATTTTCTTCAAATTTATTACTCAAATTGATTTTCTAAATAAAAATAATAATATTTTAGATTAAAAATAAAATCATTAAACTTTAAACAGCATCACGAAATGTTAGTAATATACTCAATTATATAAATAACTTGTTTTCCCGATATGTTTCTTCACAGAACTCATTACTGAAAATAATACTATTCAAACATTCAATTCGAAATATTTTTTTAAAACCGGATTCTAAAAGAGGATAAAAAATACTTTCTGTAAAAAATAAACTTTTTATAATTAAAACAAATTCGCAATAATTTAAATCTTTTGTCACTGTATCGTCTAATAAAATACGCAATTTTTGTTTTTCTCAAACATACTGATGCATTTTGGTATTTGTAAAATTAATTTTTTTTTTGCTATAATGAATTACAACAAATTAAAATGTTTTATCAAAAAAAAAATTTTTAATAAAATTTTTTAGCTGAGATATAAGGCTTTTAGCTCAGATATAAGGCTTAACTGTCCATTATGCCCCGCTGTCCCGATATGCCCCGCTCTACCCTAATTAGCAGTTTATGTTTTTGATAACACAATAGAAACGAAACTGTTTAGTTTTATCAGTGTTAAGAGATAATTATTAGTCTTAAACTAGTCAGATATTTTGGATAACATGATGTTTACGTAATGCTATAGAGTAGAAATGTTTTTATGTGACATAAATAAATTAGTGTCATCAGCAAAACATAATTGTTATTAAATACAAGGTTTTGTATAAATCATTATTATAAATAAGGAGAAGGAGAAGCCCTAATATAGTTAATATGAAAATGTTTTATATGCGTAAACAATTTGTTTACGTTAAATATTAGTTAAATAACTTATTAACCATTTTAAAACATTGTCTGTTATACAATAATACTTTAGCTTTTTATAGAGATTTATAGAAATTACAGAGAATTTTTATAAGATTTTTAATAAGATTAGCAAAATGCTTTCGCTAAATCATCTAATATTTCCAATGCGAATTTAGAAATTTTAAATGAGTTAGATATACTTTTTGTAAGCTGGATAATAGCATACTTTGTTGAATTATTTTTTCAAAAAATATATTATGTGTTACATAATAAACTGTTTCCTAAAACACGATTGTATATTCTGTTAGATATATATGTAATTAAACATATATGTAATATATTCAGAATAGTCTAGAAACTTAAACCTGTATAAAGAATGCAAAAGGTTGTCCTCAGTCTCTGCGTTGTAATTACATATAACATATAGCTGTATCAATAACTTCTTCTTATCTTAAACATCTTTTTTGTTTTTGGTTTTAACTTAGAAATATCATTGTTATATATGATTACTGTTTTTATATTTTATCTTAAATAATAATACTACTAAATAAATTAATAAAATCTAACAGTTTGACTAAAAAATGGTTTTTATCTTATTGTTTAGTTTTGAAAAATTGTAAAAATAGTTCTGCAGATTCATCAATTTTAAATGAGGTTTCATTAAAGGCTTTTTTAGATTGATCTTATTTATTTTTAATTTTATTTTATTATATTAACAGTTATATTTGATAATTTAGATTTCATTTGGTTTTGGCGCATCTGTTGGTAGTATATTTGCTGGCATTTTTATTGATAAGTTTGGCAGAAGATCAACAATACTTATGACCTCAATAATCTATTTTTTGGGTTATACGTTTTTAATAATTGGTTGTCCAGAATTTGAAAACACTACAGGTTTTTCAAACTTTTTTACTGTTTTCGGTTGTGTCTATGCTGGGATTGGAGTTGGTATGACCTCTCTTGTAGTACCTGTAAGTTTTTAGTTGTTATGTTGTTATTTGCAATTAACTGCTAGCTGCTATGTTACAATACCATTAAGTTGCTAAATTTTAAGCAGAAAAATTTATAAAAATTTATAGATTTAATATTTTGAAAATTCTTTAAAACTTTCTGTTTTTTTTAATTGTTTTTTTAACTTTTAGTAAAAAGAAAGGTACTTTTAAATCTTTTTTGAAAAACAAGAGGCCTAAAGACTATGTCTCTTGCTATATTGATAATTTTTTTGTTGCTGCTTTTTTGTCAAATAGGAACATATATTTTTATGCACTGATTAATTATACCCAAGTAGGAAACAATATTGGCGCAATATCGGAGCGATATAATGTTGCAATGTGAACATTTTGCCAATTTTGGCCAATATTGGCGGTACAATATTGCGTTAATTTTATCAAATCAATATTGGCCTATATTGGCGAGTTTTTCATATTGCAATATTGGCGCAATAATGTTTACAATATTGGCCAGTATTATATTGGGGATATAATACTGGCCAAGATTAACGTAATATTGTTTACAATATTTGCCCAATATTGTTAACTATATCAAGCCACTATTGAGTATTTTCGATTAAGATTTTGTTATTAAGAAATAATAAAAAAAACATTGTCGTTTACAAATTTTCAATAATAAAAACTTATAACAGTTTTCTTGTTTAAATGATACTAGAGTACTAGGCTGCACTATTCTTTTTAATTAAACAGCTTATATTTTAGGAGATGACACTGATCATACAATGCTTTAAGAAAAAAAATAAATTTAATTATTAACTTTATTTGAAGTTACATGAAAAAGATACAAAAAAATAATATCGCGTGCTCCAAAACCAAAATACAACCAAATAATATCAAGGCTATTTAAATACAGGCAAAAAATATGTATATACATTTATAAATTACTGCATTGTACTCTCACTTTCAGATAGTGGGAATTGACTTTCTTAATTTTGTCGATACTTATTTCATTACTCAATATTGGGAGTTGCTTAGTTATGGTTCTACTTTTTCTTCCGTCATCTCTATCAATGGCACTCACCAGAAAGCTGCCAAATTTTGCTTTAATACTTTTGTCAGTAGCAATTTCAAATTGAACGAATACAACGATAAATAATAAGAAATTGACAAACTACTAAACACAGCTCTACGAAAATGTTTTGTTATCATCATCAAAATATAATTTAAAAACGTAATTTTTTATGTACGAATATTGTAAAGAATAAGCTTTTACTAAATTATACTAAATTAAGCTCTTATTAAAAGAAAATGGGATATAGAATACAAGTATTGTGCTTTACTTTAACAACCTTGCAGGACGTTTTTGTTTCCTTTCATATCTTGAGTATTACAGACATACTTCTTTGGTCATTTGCTGTATTAAGATTTCCATTGTAAGTTGTTTGTAATCATCTCCTCCATCCAATGCAAGGATGTTCATCTAAAATAAATAAAAAATAATTGTAATAAAATTGGTTGTATTGAAAGTTTAATGGTTCCTCACATGGGTGTGAGATTGTCCCAAAAATTAATTTGCACGTATGTTTTTCCCATTCCTATTTATCTGAGTTCAAATGTATGATTGAAAATTTTTTCTGAGGTCAATTTTAGCTTATGTAAAATCACAATTTCTTCATTTTTTATAAAATGTTTTTGCATTTTTTAGATGCAAATCGAACAATTTTACATTTTTAATGCTCCTACACTAAAGGAATTGAAAAGCCAATATTTTTAGACTATATAAGAAACAGTCCATCTGGCCTATTTAGTACAGAAGCTATATTGAAGCCTGATTTACAGAAGGAGATAGTAATGATGGCTAGTTGATCAACCATTGTGTTTTTTGTATTCTGTTTTATTTTAACTGAAATTTGTTTATTATTTTAATTTTGACCGCTTATAGTAATAATTAGAAACCATTTTTTTAATGGTATATGAACTAGTTTTTTTCAAATATAATTATGGAATAGTTATGTATATCTTTAATATACATATATTTACTTAAAATTTGTATAATAAAATGTAATTTTTTTAGGAGGACACTAAAATTAAATTTTTTAAAAAATTTGTTTAGCATTAAATAACAAAAATAAAAAGTTATACTAAAAAGAGCATGTCAACGAATCCAAGGCGGCGGCTGTTTCTCCTTAAATACGCAATTAATGAACTTTTAATAAACCAGTTGACAACCATCTTAAATATTCTAAGATATCCCCTAATTCTAAGATATCCCCTCCTCTCACCCCTCATCCTTCTTCTCCTAAGTACTTAAAATGTGACTTAATAAGGCAAAAATTTATTAAAAAACAAAAAAATCATAATGGTAAATACTTGTCTTTTTTTATTTTAGATTAATAAGATTCCAATCTACTAAATTGATAGTAGCCTTCCCTCAGAAGCATGAGAACAAGGATCTGATCTGCAAAGATATCATTACATCTTTGTTCAGAAGACAATTGCAAGAAAGCAGGGTATCAAGATTTTATCATCAGTGGATTCAATGTCAGGGATGAGATATTGAAGCTCCATAATAAGTATATAAATCTGCATCATCTCAAATCATTGAACTAGAACTATAGCAATGGCAACATCTTTAAGGTACAGATTAATTTTTTAATGGAGAGTAATACAATCTTTGATATTTCGTTGGCAAACTTTAAAAAAAAAATCAGGATCAATTTCGTTCTGAGAATGCCAATAAGGAGGATACTCAGTTCTAACTAGATCAAAAAGGAGAGCGAGACATGTATTTTTCTGAAAAAGTGGAAAAAGTGTTACGAAATTAAGCTAAAAATAAAAATATCCGGCTCAAGAGGATGGAGGAGGCAAGGGGTAAAGGTAGATTCACGTTGAATGCAGTAAATTTCAATAAACATGAGATTTTTTTTCGTTCATCAGGAAAAGATTCTCAAATAGAACTTAGTTTAGATTCTTTAGATGATGAAGATTTACCTAATAGGTTCAGTCATTCTACTAAATCTAAGATAATGATAAGTATAAATGTTGAACATCTGATTGACTGTACTGCTGCAGCTTGTGGCGAATGCACCTCAAAGATGTCATAGATGTCTGAAATTAGTAGCTATTGCTACAAAATGTGCTAACTGGGCGTAAAGATAAAAATCAAAACAAAATATAATAGGCACTTGTATAAAACGTTCTTATATATAACATAATTATAATCACAGGGGTATACTCTCATGGTTGTCCGGTGGCACGAAACGACTCTTTTTCTCTAAGGGCGACTGAAATTTTTTTAAAAATTTCTGTCAGTAACCCGCAAGGACAACCAGAAAGTTTGTTACTTACAAAAAATTGTTTAATAATAAAGTTATATTTTGGTTTATAAAAATTTTATTCCTTACAATTATTTAAATGAAAACTTTAAAAGCTTTTTAAGAAGTATACACTTCGTTTAACAATGAGTACACTACGGTGCGTTATATAAGTTTACCAAACTTAATAAAAAGAAGCCGACACGATTTAAAGTTTCGAAGTGTGACTGTACTGTTTTTTGAAACATTGTTGTTGCACTTTAAAGCACATTTTCAATTTAAAATAAGTTTTAAAATTACATTTTCTTTTACTATTATGCTATTGTACCTTTTATATACTATTATACTATTATGCTATTGTACCTTTTTTTAAGCTTGTAGTTACATTTTGAATCACGTGAATAGGCAGTTGAATCATTATTAACAAAGTTAATACAAAAGCATCTCCATTTCTTTTTTTTTTTCATTAGTAAAATAAATTTTTTTCAACTTCGTTAAAAAAGAATTAACAAAATAAAAAATATTATTACAATGCATGTTAGTGATACAGGTGGAAATTCTTTATTTCTTAAAAAAAAAAATCTTAGGATAATGAACCATGTTTAAAACATTAAAAACATTTTAAACATTCAACTAAATAAATTTTATTAAAGTTTGAGAGATAATATTTTTCTCTATATAACACGTTTCTTTGAAGTTTTGGCATTCATTATTTTTGCTTCAGGTAATGAAACCTTTATTAAGATTGACCAAAACAAACGATACGATATAGATATCGACTACGACAAAAATGACGACGCATCTTAAATGACTTTCTCAATCTCAAACTCAAATGACTATTTGAGTTAGAGATTAGGAAAGCCAAAAATGTGGTTCTTAATGCCTGGAGAGTCACTGAGACTAGAGCTAAGTCATTCAGTGTGATGAGCATTAAAGTCACCTACAACAATGATATTCGTTGAAGGATAAAGAGAGAAGGATTGGTCTATTTGATCAGAACACTAAAAAGAGTGCAGTCATGAGATGAAGGAGAGCGATATAGAACAAAAAGAAAGGCAATAGAGTGAAATGTTGCTAAACGAAAGCACATAAAAGAATAGTCTTGCATGGTAGTCAAAAAGTTTCTTACATAAATTGTAGTTTTAAAAACAGCGCTAATAAGCTAGACCAGAAAAATTTTAAGAAGATAGTTTGTTTTGTTTTTTTTTAATTAAATGATAGATTGCTTGTCCAAACCAAACCCTTAGTCAATGTTGCGACACTTTCTTGAAGCATCAGGCTATAATATAATTGATGTAGCAGCACTCCCTTGTCATAGCAGGCTATAAGATAGTCAATGTAGCAGCACTGCTTTGCAGCAGCAGGCATTAAGATAGTCGATGTAACATCACTCTGAGCGTTTTTTAAAAATATGTTTTTAAAAACAAAAACAAAAATACTATTAAGGTGGTACTCCAAAAAATATATTAAAATCTTATTGAAACTAGAGCATTTTTTCATTTTTACAACATAAATACATAATATAAAATAATTTTCAAAAATGCGATCTTAAAATTAAATTAAAAATGCTATCTTAAAATATCTAATTTAAAATTCTTTGCCTCGATTACCCCGAAAAAATTGATAACAACCAAACTTTTGTGAAGTAATTACTTAAAATCTACTAGCCATTTTAGCATGAGGTTTGGAACATTTTTAATTATCGCA